ATACAATCTATTATTGAATATTAAGATGATGTTCTATTAATAATCTTTTCATTATATAAATGTAAACTATATTCAAGATTCTTACACTATTCAACAATATAAGAAGAAATTCTATAAATAACTATGAAATAAAATTTAAAAAATAATTGCAAATATAACTTAATTTAAACTTAAAATAGTAAGAAAATAGGAATGTTTTGTTTTATGTTAGAATATTTAAGTATAATGGGAATATAAATCATAGTATAATATAAAACTTTTCAATTAATGTTGATTAATGAATTTGATGTATAATAAACTTTAAATAAAAGAAAATGGTAGAGATTTAAAGTAGAAAAAGGATAGGATTCATATAAAAATAATGTAAAGGAAGTGAATAGATATTTAAATTAATTTAGAAGTAGTGATTGAATATAAGCTTACAACAGTAAAGGTTGCTATGAAATGATTTGGGATAATTGAATATATAATTCAATTTGCTATTGAGGATTTTTAAGGTGTGGCAGTTTTATTACGACATAGTTATTCTTACAAGGCATCTTTAACATCAGACTGTAGTTTAACTTACTTTCTGACAGTTTTTGTTTATCTATATTCATCTAGAATTAGATGAGCTTTAATTCGTTATTCCTTCTCTCTCTATTCTTTATTAAATGTGGATTCCATCATCATAGTTTTCTATTGGCTTACTTTTTCAGATGTTATTGTGCATCCCATATTTGTTAATAATTATATTATATATATATATAATTGATGATAGATATATAATGTATATTACTATTTGGATATGTTTAATAATATTAGAGATTAGGAATAATTGTCAGATAAGCATATTTATAATTGAATATAATTAATTTAATTAAATTCTTCAATGTGACTCTGCCTGTCTTACTGGAGTGAGTTCTCTCCTATCCAATCAACAATAATCATATACTTCTTCACCAAAAATTCTTAAAAGACTTTCTCATCACATTTCTCTAAACAATCTTTCATTCTATGTACCCATCCTTTTTGATGTGCTATTCTTATACCATTTTCTGATTGGAAATCCTTCACATTAATTTCAGATGAAATTTCTTTAGGTTTCTCTTAAATATCACATTTTTCCAATACATATTATAAAGCTGAACCTTAAACAAAAATCTAAATTTATAATTGCATATTAAATCATATATTACATTTAAAGCAATTATAACTACTGTCATTGTTAATATAATTTCTCCTTCTTCTTTAAAAGTATCAGCTGCATCTAAAGCCAAAGCATAAGCCATTGCACCTCTTAATCCACAAAACCACATTGCTTTTTGATGATTTGGTTTTATAAAATTATCATGACGATATCTATTGAGTATAAAACTAACAATTTTTATATTTATAAATCTAGCTACTATTACAATCAATATAGAAGATATAGCTAAAACTATTCCCATTTCATTCCAAGCTAAATCATAACCAACTACACCTATCCCTATAAATAGAAAAACTAAATTTTCAAAATTGTAAGACAATATATGATAGAATTTATTTAATAACTAAAAATAGAAATCTTTTTTTATAATTTACTTCTTTTCCACTTTCAGATAAATTTGGTAAAGCATATTTAGCCATAACAATACCACAAAATACAATGCTTACTATTCCTGAATAACCAACAGCTTATGATATTAAATAACAAACCCATGGAATTATTACAGTAACTGATACTTCAATATGTTCTGTTTCATAAGACACTTCCTCTTTTACTTTCAAAATCTATTATATTCTATTATTAATAAATACATATGCACATAAAACACCAATTATTATACCAATTGCTATTGATACTATAAACATTGTTAAAAATTATTTCATTGCTTCTCCATAACCAACAACTTCTTAATTCCACATTCTTCCAGATATTCTAAAATTAATTATTCATTAAATCAAATACTCATATAATAAAAGAGAAATTGCATCATTTAGAATACTTTCTCCATAAAGTAAAATATGTATATGTTTATCAGCATCTAATTATTTAAATATTGCTAACACAGCTACTGGATCAGTAGAGGATATTAAAGATCCAAATGCATAACTACTAGTTAATGATAATTTCTAAAAATTTGCATTAATTATAATTTATATACTTAGATGAGTAATCCAACCAATTATAAACTAAATGCTGTTACAAATGTTGCTATTAAGGTTCCAATTACTGCAAACATCACAATACTACCAAAATTTTAAAAAAATAATGCTTTCTCCATATTAATTGAACTTTCAAATAATATTGGTGGTAATAAAACAATCAAAAAGAATTGACTAAATCCTTATCTATATTCTTATAAAAGTGATGATTTATCAATAAATAATAGAAATAATCCTGCTGCTATACCTATCAATGCTGTAATTATAGTATTATTTAAGTAATTTTTTAAGTATCTATTATTCATCCAATAATTAGTTAAAACTTCATTTATCACAAGCAAAGTAAGCATAAATAATATGGCATTACATAATATTTATACATCCATAATTTTTATATAATTATTAAATTAAGAATTTAAAATAATTTAAGTCAAAAGGATTCATGATTATTTTGATTAATCAAAGACAAAGATTTTTTCATTGTTTGATTGATACTCATATCCAGCAAATTATTATTAAGCATTTGGATCTCTTAACAACTACATATTTTATGCTATGAGTTCAGCATTCTCCTCATCTTCAATCACAATTTATCTTTAATCAAAATTATCATCACTAGGATTAGGAACAAAGGGAGCTTTCAATTCCCTATTTTATAGTTTTGACCATGGAAAGTTTTTAAACCAAGGATGTAATTTTATCTCATGGCCACCATTGAAACCGAGACGACTAGTTGGTTTGCGTTGGAGCAGCCGATTCACAAAGTCTACAGCTTCCACGCTCCAGTTCTGAGGTACTTCACTAGCCTTGATTTAAACTTGTCGAGCAAGAATTTAATCACGAATCTCTTGACGAGATCTCCCAACATAAGGACGCTATAATATTGAATATAATAATTTACTCTTCCTAACATAAACTCATAGGCTATGACTCCAAGTGCATAATAGTCAACAGCAAATGTATGATTTTATCGACACATAACTTCAGGTGCTTATTATTAATTTATATATATATAATACCCATATATCCAGGAGTTCCAGAAGTGTCACTTGAATTCTCTTATTTCATAACACGAGCAATTCCTAAATCAGTAATATGTACAAATCCTTTTTCATCGAGGACTAAGTTTTCTGGTTTAATGTCTCGATGAATAATATTATTTATATGTAAATACTCGAGACCAATAAAGATAGATGCTACAAAGAACTCTGAAATTTTATAAAATACTTACTAGTTTGTTCTTCATTAAAACGTCGCATTCTACCAATATGAAATCGCAAATCACCTCCACACATATAATCCATGACTAGATAAAGGTTTTCACGATCTTGGAATGCATAGTACATGTTGATGAGAAATGTATGTTTAAGTTAACTAAGTAGCATTCTCTCATTCATAACAGAATTTACACTTTTCTTTGTTATTACAAGTGCTTTAGACATCTCTTTCATTGCATACTATTATCCTGTTCTTTTAACCTTCCACACTTTTCCAAATCCTCCAATACCAATTACATATTCAAATGTGAAAGCTGACTTGTTTATTAATTTTGTATCTGTAGCTTTTGGACTTACTACTTCTGCTTCCTTGTTCACTTTTCTAACTTATGCTGAGTCATTCCGAATATGAATAGGTCCTGTTGGAGTTTTAGCTGACATAGCAATTGCACGAGCTTTGGCTATTAGTTGAGTCATTGAGTCTTTTGATCCTTCTGATGATGATTATTTCACTTTCTATTGTTTCATTAATGTTGCTAATTTCGTTAAATCAATTGAAGAGTTTTTATGAGGATAGAGGGCTTTTGGTAAACTTACTTAAGTAGGAGATACAGCAGGACTTTAAATTGTATATTAAGAAGGACTCTTCTATTTTAACAACAAAGTATTAATAAGTTTATTATTGGGACTGCTAGCCTAACTCATCTTTGGAGTTTGCTTCATCATATTAATTAATGAATATAATTGAATAAAGAGTTTATGGAATATAAACAATATTCTTTTATAGTCATAGATAGAAATAAATAAATGTATAAGAAATAATAGATTATGAGACCTTTTGTTTGAATCTTACAAATATTGTTGAATCAAATTAGAATGTAATAAAGAAATTAAATCTAATATGATATTTTATTTGAGCAAGATAAAAAGATTATGTATTCTTAACAAAATTAAATGTATTGATACTTTTTAAGTAAGTTTAGTATTTTTTATTAGTTGGGATGTACATTTTTTAATTTAGAAGAAATTTGTTATCTCATTCATTATTCAATATTGAAAAGTACTAAATAGTTTTCAAAATTTGATTTTAGATTACGATAAAGAGATTTTCTTAATTATCAATACATTTCTTCTTAAATAAAGAAGAAAATTATATTGAACAAATTCATTTTATTTTCATTAATATTCAAAAGGAATATAACACTATAAAAGATATAACTCTTTTTATTATTTCTATACACAATTAGAAATTAAATTAAGAAAGGATGAAATAATTTTGTAAAAGATGATGGTTTACAAAATATCTACTATAATCATTTATTAAAAAAATATGAATGGAAATACTTATGTATGTTTAAGATTACATATATATACTAATAAATTTAAACATAATATAAACTAAGTAAAATAGTATAAATGATTGAATTAATATAAATATAAATATAAATATAAATATAAATATAAAAGTAACTATTTAATTTTGATCATTGATATGATATGAATATAAATTAAGTAAGTATTGATATATTTTATATTATCATCTATATGAATAAAAATAATTAATATTCTTATCTAATGAATTTAAAAGTTTATATTATAGACTATTCTATTATAATTATATATTAAATAATATAAATTCAAATTTGATTATTAACAATGTCAGATTAAGTGAAAGAATTAATTGAGGAAATGATTCCTAATGTGAGTATATTTACAATAAATTTAAGATTAGAGAAGAAATCATTAAAGAGTTGAAACCTTAATATGAAACTCAATTTTAAGAGTAATTGAATTAAGCCAAATAAGAAATTACAGGTTCATAATTCATTAGTAATTAATTGGCAGAAAAACGAAGAGAGGTTTTTCATTTCATATATAATGATAGCTAGCATAATAGATTATGAATTAAATTGAGTAAGAATTTGAATAAGAAAAACAATCTTTGATTCATAATGTTTCTGTAAGTTTAAGTAAAAGTAGATCAATGCAAGTCTTGGAATAATAGTATTAATTTATTAGAATAGATTAGATTGAGATAAAAAATATAAAAAGAATATACAGGTTATGTGGAAGAAGAAGTGAGAAAGAAAATCCATTTAATCAAATTGAATTGTTAAAAAAGTTATGAAGAGGATAGAATTGAGATGAAAAATTAAATGACTAATGAATTTACTGAAAGATTATAAATTCATTTAGATTAGCTTGAATAAAGTATTATCCATTTATAGTTCCAAAGCAAAATCATAATTGACCGTTGACTATTAGAATTAAAGAGAGAAATTATTAAGAATAGAAGCTGAAACTAAATAATTCTAATCTTAAAAAGAAAATCAAGAAAATACATATGGATAACAGATATAAGAAATACATGAATAGATCAAATTATTACAAGATTAATTATCATAAATTAAGGCTTTAAAACATTAAGCTATTAAAATAAAACCTCAAAAAAAAGAAATAATTTAACCTTAACAATAAGATACATAATCTTAATTATCACCTTATCAATCAGTTATAAAAAATTAAGTACTTTAAGAATGTTTAATTTATGAAGGATTGAATATAGCCAATTTTGATGAATTGCCAGATTTATTTCATTTAGAAATTAAATAAAATGGAATTGATTCTAAATAAACAGCTTAAAATCTGATTCCATAATATGAATCAAATCATATTTAAAAATCAGAAGTAGCATAAACTATAAATACTTAAATTAATACTCATGATAGTTAAATTATTTCATTCAATATATCATAACCATCAATAGTTAAGAATACTATTAATCAAACTTAAAATAATACATGTTCTACATAATAAAAGTAATAGATTTCTTAACAATAATAAATTTAAAAGTAATCATAAATTTAATAAGAAAAAGAAAATGATCCTTCTATATAAGGTAATTATAATTTTCCAAAACGATCTTCATAATCTCCTAATTAATAAAGGAATAGTTAAGATGAATAATAAACTAAAAAATCTTCATTTATTAATTAATCAACAATAATAGAGAAATTAGAAAATTTGTGTAAAGAAAAGATTAGATAATCTCAAACAAATTCCAATTAAAGATAATCTAAAATATTATTACCTTAAGATCATTTTGAAGAACTCTTTTAGATAGATTCAAAAGATAATCAAACAACAAGAAACATTAAATTATTAAGATAAGAGCTTTAAACAAAATTTTTAGAAGATATATAATTAGAAGATTATTATTTCTAATAAATTAGTTTCTTTAAATTAAATTTTGTTTAATAATATCCAAAAAATTAGTAAACTTAAATTACAGAAAAGATATAATAATTAATATCAATTTGGAATAAAGGTCATTTATCATTTTCAGAAAGAATAGATTATATTAAAAGAATTATTAATAGTTCAAATTCTACTTATGAATTAGAATAGATTTTAGAAGAATGTTTAATGTATTATTAATAAAGTAAATTTATATAAAATATAAAAATTAGATGAATTATTAATAGAGAAACTTTAATAGAGATAATCATTTAGATCTTAGATAATGAAAGAAAATTATTTATGTTAAAAAAATAAAAAAGTTTTTGCAGCATTAAAAAGTTTAACTTATGAAATTAAATGTTTACTTAAATATAAATTCTTTTGGAGAGAAGTTGATGTTGATTAGATTATTATGATTGATTAGTTTGAATAATAATTAATAGAAAGAGAAGAAATGAAAGAAGAAATAAAAAGGAAAGTCGAAAAAAAGTTTAAATGAATAATTTTACAATATTATTATCTACTCCTATATTCCTTATTAATGTTTAATATATAAAAATTAATTTAATTTATCTAGATTTTTTCATATATAATAAAAATATTATAATTTTATTAATTATTTATGAGAATTTATATTCTAATTATAAATTCTATTTTATTGATATAATTTGAATGAAATGAATTATTTCATTTTCTTATTGATATAATAAAAGTATTAATCTAAATATATTCCATTATTTATTATTAATTATTTATAAATAATCATTAATAAATAATGAAACTAGTCAATATATAATATTTATTTAATTAAAATATGACAACATTTTAAGAGAGGTTTAAAGGTAAAACAACAGTGATGGGTAGAAATGGATTAGAATCAGTATTGAATACATGTCAATAGCCCATCAAAAAGGAAGTTGATTGTATGATTATCAAATAATCAAGATCAAAATAAACCATCTCCTATTTATTAGACTCATTAATAATAATAATAAACAAATATTTAAATATCTCCAATAAAAATTTAATACAATAAATAGACAAATAACTAAACATTATATTAATATAATCCATATATTGGGTAATAATAAATACAAGATTCACTTTAATACTTAAGCTAATAATAATACTTTTAGCCAATTACAAATTATCAAATAGAAACAGAACCATAAAATAAAGAGGATAATCAATCAAAATAAGCCAAATAAAAAATAGAATCAGCAGATAAATCATAACGCTATAAACCTTATACCTTAAAAGATTATGAAATTATGAAGAAGACAGCTGATGCAAAATTAGGTGGTTTAGGTCCCAATTTAAGTGGAGATGAATGGGCAAAAGAAAAAGAAAAAGTATTAAAACGTTAAGAATTTGCAGAATAAGTAAGATAATTCAATTCTACAAATATAATAACAACAAGAATAAGTGAAACAAAGTAATCTGAACCTAATTCAAGGTATAATAATATATAATTAAGAACAAAAGCAATGGATTTTGCTAGAAATATTCCAAAACCATAAATAAGGAAAAAAAATGAATAACAAATTAAAAGTATTCCAAATAAACTTTCAGATAATAATATAAGTAGAGATCCTTTTGATGATGAAATTGCTCGTTTAGAAAGAGAACACTTAAAATATTTAAACTAATTAGATAAAATGAAATGAATTTTATATATTTATAAATAATTAATGAGTCTTGAAGAATTTGATGCATTCACATCCTTAAAAGCTTTAAGAGATTTGAAAAAGTAGATTGAAGCAAAAGCCTAAATAGACTAGAAATCAAAAGCTGCATTATAATATATATAGAAAGCACAACCTTTAAGTTAATACGATTTGAGAATACAATTTTAGCATTGGCTAGCAAAATTAGGAGATTTAAGCACTAAACAAATTGCTTATACTAATATATTTTAATTAGTCTAATAAAACTAATCCTAACCGAATCTATAATTATTAATAACTTGTCTTTAAACACCAATAAATGGCAAAGGAAGTGAAAGCATCATCAAAACTATTAACATTATTGTAGGAATTTATGGAGATACAATTTCTGTTACAGACATTTATAAATTTATAGAAATTATGCTTAAATACTTTAATGTATGTAATAAATATAATATTTAGGATTCTAATAATAATGTTTAGATGGCAATTAGTGAATGTTGGTCAAATATTTATATCAAAAATATATCCAAAAAGCCAGTTTAATAAAGAGTATTGTTGATGTATTCAACTCTAAGTTAATTAATTGGATCTGGAGGTAGTAGACAAACATAAGAAACTGCTACTATTGTCTTATCATAATTATTTGAAACATTGACTACTGCTTAAGATTTATCATTCATAAAGGATGTTGTCAAAGATTATTTAGGAATTTATTTGGTATTTATTAAATTAACAAGAAATAACAAATAGATCATTCTGGATTTTATACTATTATGTTCTATATTTTAAAAACATTATAAATATAAAGTTTTACAAGTTAATAAATCCAAGTTATCGATAAGACTCTTTAAGGAATTAATAATTAAAAACTAAATTATAGAGTAATAAATAATAAATAATTTTATTTTAGACTAGAGTAGGAGCATTAAATCTAATGAAATTAATTGCTACTCAGTATTAGAATTCTAATTTCAAAATTGCCTTAGGAAATTTACATGAATAAGTTATCATTGTATTAGAAGATTCTACAAGAGATAGAGTTATTGCAGTTTAAAATGCTGCTAGAACAGCTCTTAAAGAATGGATGAGACTTAAATTATAAGTTGATTGTGAATTAATTCCTAATCCTGTTTCTCTTGATTAATCTCCTGGTTTTTTAAAAAAATAAAGTGGATCTGGAGGAGGATAAGTTTATGTTAATTAAAAAATATCAAATTAATAATAATTTAAATAAGATATTAAGTAAGCATTAATTGAAGATTAATTTGAAAATACTGTTGATTATTCTAATATTGTTCATGAACCTAATCTTAATGTATGGTAAAAGGCTATGAGACTTTAATAAGATGGATTATTAGAAGATGCTGTTGAATTATTACTTCATGAAGGTGATGATCTATATTTAATCAGATTTTTGATGAGTTACAAAAATTACTCTCAATTATTTGATCATCTTTAAAATTCTTTAGCATTAAGATTAATTGACACTTTAATATTAATCTTAGAATCTGATTTTCTTAACATTTTATGTTTAGATTTCATTCAATAATTTATTGATTGTGGATTGGGAGATTGGTTTAAAGACACTGATTTTACAGATTATTTAGAATATAACACAGAATAAAACTTGCCTTCAACTCCTTTATGTAAAAAAGTTAGAGACTAATTGAAGTGATTATATATCAATATTAAATTAAATTTTCCTTTGAATGGAATCCCAAGACCAGACAAGTTAAAAATCCTAAAACAAAGAGATCTAAGAAGTATGTTTATCTTTTCTACAGAAACCATTGTTAATTTCCTCCTCAGATGATTGCATTGAAATGAAACCACAAGAATATAAAGGTTATAAATTTACTATTTAGTGAGCATTTTAAAACAAAAATTAAGAAATAAGTAACAAATATATTCGCTAACTAAAATATTATTTGGATTTCGATTTGATTTACAAAAAGCTGCTTGTTTAATCTGTAAAGAAGAAGGCCATGTTAATTGTTGCCAAATTAATTTCCAAATTGATAATATTTATAAAAAATGAATGAATTCTTTTAAGTAAGTATCACTAAAAAATCATTTATAGATATTTCTTTAAGTTTTTTATCTTTAAATCATTAATTTTAAACATGAAAACATAATAATACAACTTTAATAAAATATTTTTACTATTTAATAAGAAACCTAATGATTTTTAAATCTTAATAATTTTTTAATCTTATATATATATAATTTGTTTCTTTAGTCTTTAAATTTTTATCAAATTTTTTTTTTGTTTCTCTTAATTATTTAGTAAAAATTCCAAAAAATTTTAATAAAAATTATTTACATGGAAGTCTAATAATCTTTGACTGTTTGTGTTACTGGTGCTGCAGGATAAATTGCCTACAGTTTTATTCCTTTGCTTTTGTCTGGTTAAGTTTTTGGATAAGTTAAAATCAATTTGAGATTATTGGATATTCCAAAGATGGAAACAGCATTGAAAGGAGTTGTCATGGAAATTGAAGACTGTGCATATCCTTTAATTGGAGATATATAAACAGGTTCAAATCCTAAAGAGTTATTCAAAAATTGTGATTTAATTGGTAATTCTAAATTTTATTGTAGTATTTTTGGGAGGATTTCCTCGTTTACCAGGAATGGAAAGAAAGGATTTATTACAAAAAAATGCAAATATTTTCAAAGAATAAGGAGAAGCATTATAGGAAGTAGGAAAAGAAGATGTAAAATGTGTAGTTGTTGCCAATCCTGCAAATACAAATTGTTTAATTTTAAGTAGATACGCAACTAAGTATATTATTAATTTTAACTTAGAATTCCTCGTTAAAATTTTACTTGTTTGACTCGTTTAGATTAGAATAGAGCATATGCTTAAGTTGCTTTAACCTTAAACAAACCATTAAATAGTCTTAAGAATATCATTATTTGGGGAAATCATTCTACTACTCAATATCCTTCAATTGAACATGCTACAGTTGAAGGATAATCTTTTGTATTACCAGATTAGGGACAATTTATAGAAAGAATTTAAAAGAGAGGAGCTGAAGTTTTGAATGCTAGAGGCAATAGTAGTGTTTTCTCTGCTGCTAATGCAGTTAAAGGTATAAATTATTAATTAATAATTTTTAGATCATATAAAAGATTGGTATAATGGAAGAGAGGATACTTTATTATCACTTGGAGTTCTTTCAAATGGTGAATATGGAGTGTAGAGTGGTTTATGTTTTTCATATCCAATCAGATGTCTTGGAGCTTTTAAATATGAAATTGTTGGAAACTTATAATTGAGTGACTTTTCTAAATAAAAACTCAAAGTAACAGAAGAAGAACTTATACAAGAATAAGGTTTGGCAGAATCTATTTGAAAAATAAGGGTATTCTTAATAAAAATGAAATATAAAAATAAAGATTTACAAATAAAATCATATGAATATATATGCAAATCAAAAAGTGGATTCACATATGAACAAATTTAGACTTTTAAAAATGTACCTTCTTCTGTTATTTTTGTTAAGTAGATTTTTAACATATCGTTTTTTAAGATTAAGGTCGTCTAAGTATTCCTTTTTTATATGTTTCTGTCTTAGTTACTGAGAAATCTAGGCTATTTCTTTATGTGTTTTAAGATGCTGTTCTTCTATGAGAACCTTCCAAAAAAGACCCATTAGAATCTGAAGGTAATTCTTCATCCATAAACTCTTTAGATTATTAGATTAAAAATTTAGATATGTCTTATTTAGTAGGGCAATGTGTGTAGAGTTTAGCATTGCATTAGAAAGGATATGCTCTGATATCAAAGTGATCTAATAGTAGTTAAGGAGATTATTCAATAGAT